ATTTATATTGGCATTCTGAAGGACTTAATTCTTTCAGAGACAACCTAAGTTTAACTGCTTCCTCAACAGTCTTGCTGAGGAGGACAGTTATTGCTTGGCAACTACAGGCTTTTTATTTTATTATGTAATTATGTGTGAGGTTCTCCGCCTTATCACAGCCGGACACACTGTCCTCCTCCCCTCGTCAGTGGCTAACACCTTTTTTTCCCCTTCCTTCTGGTTGGATATGGTTGAGGTTTTTCATTGCCAAATCACCATTGGTAGCGATCTGATTTATATTAATACCTCAAATGTAACCAAAAAAGTGTAGTATGAGGACTAGTGGTAAATAAACCATAAATATATTTGTAGCTAAATGTGCTTTCTGATAGGTCAGAGGGAAATAATGTTTAGTTGGCCAGTGTGATCTTGAGAATAAAAAGGCAGTGTGAGGTGGTGCCCTGGATGCTGGGGTTTGAAAGCCATTGCACTTGCTGCACAGCCTTTAGTTATGCTTGCATTTTGGGTTTGTATTAAGTGTTATACATTTCCTTCACTTGAGTCAATGTGTAATTCTGCAGTGGCTTCAAATCAAGTAAGAGACGATTCTCTCTACCTCAGTGATTCGGTCAATTAAAAAAAAAATCATAATTAGTTTAGGCTTATCTTAATATGAAGCACATGTTCCCTAAAGTGTGTTTTTAATCAATGAAGTACTGTAGAGGTCCTTGCACTATTATTTTGGAATGTGACTGACTTGATCTACTACTACTACTACTACTACTACTGGAAACTTTTAAAATGAGATGTCTAAACTTGTTACATGTTTGCTGTCCGTGGATTCGAATGTGCTGATATACTTGACATGGATTTGGTTAAGGGTTTACAATGACACTGTGAACTAAAACTAATGCTGGTACGAGAAATTACATATTAAATGTAATCCTCAATAAAAAGGAGGAAAATAAGGGGTTCTTGTATTTAATTTAAAGCCTCCAATGAGCATAATAATGTGATGTTTGATGATTATAAAACTGAATGTTGTGGGTATAGTGGGTGATGGTGATGTAAATATATGTACAAATCAAAATGTACAAAGAATGTCATTTGTAAATTAAAATGTTAAAATGTTCTCTTTGAAAATCTGTCCTAATTTGGCTGTTTTTGTGTTTGGTTTATCAGCATTGAACATCTATATGAAAATCCACATCAGGTCACACAACAAAAGTATTGTCGGGTATCTGTTACACTACTTAACAATAAAGAAAACATGTATGCTCAGTTATGAAAATCACCATGGTGTAGTCTAACAATATATTAAGTGCTCATTTTTATCAGTGTTCAGCAACTTAACAAGCACGCATGTCTTCTTACTCTGCCTGTGATGAGATGGCGAAGAAGTGTGACTTGCAATATTCCTACACTGAGTGTGACACCATTGCTGGATTATAGCAGAACATCCTTTTTAGTGCAAACAAAGAAAAACATTGAAAGACAATGAACTTCATCTAATAATCTTCTTTTTGTATATGGTAAATAATCTTCAACACAGTCTATTGTGTTAGTTTTCCCAAAGTATCTGTCCATCCTCCCGACTGGGTGTGACATTTCACATAGTTTATGTTAAGCATCTCCGTCTACTATTGTGTCTTTTTCACTGAGAAGAACCCCTGAGAATGAGACTGACGGTAAACAGTGAGGTAATTAAGAGCTTTAAGTTGGCCTAAAAAGTAAAAGAGACAAAATAAATACCTTCCTGTTGTTCTTTACAATGTCTTACAGGACAAAGACAATAAAGCCTCTGAGAAACTGGATCCTCTCGATATATTGTGTTTCCTGAAGGGCGCACTTTGAGATAAAGCTTAACAAGATGAATCTCACAACTGTCCTCTGTGTGGAACACAATGAACAAGTGATACAGCGTTGAACCTTTCAAAAAGAAAATAGCTGAATCATCTATTGTATTTTCACAAGTTTGATTAATTCACTATGACCGCAATGTGCAAATCGTATTACTAACAAGCCCTACATTTCTATTTTAAGACATTGATTTGGTTCAACCAAAACGTACTAAAGTGATGTAAGAGAGTGTGTAACTAAACATGGTTTATTGGCAGCTGTGACCTCATCAGTCAAATTTCCTCTCGTTTGGGGTCCATGTAGTGGTGTGAGGAAGGGTGACGAGACTAATTAGTGGCAATGAATTCATCAAAGAAACAGGACATTCCTCTATATAGGCACGAACCAAATCTTACATTTTTTGTATTAGATTGAACCAAGGCAGCACTTTTAAACACCTTTTTTCTTTAAAGAAAGGATATCCTCTCCATGATATTGTGTAAAACAATTGTCAGTTAACATTGAGAGTAGTGAAAACATTCTGTACCCAAAATATATTATGTTGTTTTACTTTGTGTACTTAATGCAGTTTTTACATTAGGATGTACTGAGTGTTAATTGTAAATGTGTCTGTATGTGTGTGAAACAAATACATTTCTACCTGAGAGCAACAGAACAAACAATGATTCAAATCTCACTGCCTTCTGTGTCTCCTAAACCTACAAGGAGAGAGGAACACAAACCCACAGCTAAAAGATGTGCAGTTAACATAGGAACAATAAAGGACACACTATTGTTGCTAGGCTGTGAACAAACAAGTGATGTTTCCCTTGCTGAAAAGCTATCACCTAGTGTAAATGTCCCACTCAAGTGATGATATTTGAATGTATGCGAGCCTGCAGACCAAGAGCTGCACATTTGTCGAAAGTAATTGGAGGAAGCTTTTTGATGCAAGTGCGGTCAATGGGGTCGTCTGACAGAGGCTGCAGGATTTCACACAAGCCCTCTATTTTCTTCAAAGGCCTCTGGAGCACCATCATTGGCATGGCTGAAGATGGGAAAGTTGTAGCTGGGGTTTAAATTAAAAAAGAACATTCCACACTGTACATGCTGCTGACAATGGCATCTCTATAGGGCTCAGACAACGCAGACAATCTCATCTAGCAGCTGCGTAAATTACAAGTCATGTTTAGCCCAGTGTAGATAACAGTAAAGATAATAATTGGACATAACATGGTGTTCCACGTTGCCGAACGTTACTTCATATTATGTAGTTTGGTGGATGGATTACACATGATTGATGATGATACATATGATTAACTTTTGCACTTTTTATGAAAAACACAAATGCTCTTATATTGTCCCTTACTTTGAAAAAACCTGGATTGAACTAAATAATCACGTAAACATTTGTTGGTAAAGGTTTATGCTAAGTTATTTACTTTCCTGCCAGATTTGCTTGAGAAGATCGTAAGCACTCTATATGCTAATTATAAAACTACAGCCAAGCATTGTCACAGTATTCAATCAAAATGATGATTGAATAACAGTGGTTCAAAGTCAGCATCTTAACATAGCACTGGAACTATTAAATCAGCTGAGAAACACACGAATGAATTTCAGTAGCCATAGTTAACAAAGAAGGACTCCATGTTATTTATCTATGTGTTTTCAGATCAACTCCAGACTTGTAATGTTTGTTAGAAACAATGCCATGCAATAAGGCTGAACAAAGATCTCTTTGATTTCAGTTCAAACATTGGTCCCCATCTGCTTTATGACGCGGGAATAATCAAATTGTTTAAGATAAATAAAGATTTCACATGCATTGATCTCTGGCAGGGAGGAAACAAACAGTTTGTTCTTCTTGGTAACATACATTTGGGAAATGTCGGTTAAAAAAAAAGATAATCAGCATTGTGTGCCAACTCAGCAGATCAGTACACTGTAGTCCCTGACTCCACACATCACACTGGAAGAGAGGCCAAGGCAATGCAACTTCATCTGTGCTATAGGACACCATGTACTTGACAAAGATCCATTGTGAAGAAGACTCAGAGCTGTATGCTCCCCTTTAAAGAGGGTCCTATTTAGATCAGCCACTCACTATACAAATGAGATAAAGTATGAGTCTCTGTCCTCTCTCCTATTGACTCAGTGTCCACTCATGAAGATGCTTATGGTTTGTCAATGAGTGAAACAGCAGCACCCTCAATCATATTCTCTCCCATTACTTCCTATAATATGCTGAAGCATAAGCAGAGTTTAGGAGAATAGATTTAATATTAACATATAAAAGCTAACTATATTGTAATTGTAAACTGCTCGTTCATGAGGTCGACTATGTTAAATAGGGAGAAAAAAAAATCACCTCAGGAAAACAATTTATAGAAATGGAACCAAGCTGAGAGACAGGCCTTCAAGTGAAAGCAAGAGGTCTGACATAATGCCTCAGCTAGCATGACTTTGTCACTGTTCAAGGCAGAGAGTGCTAATCTGCATGGAGGTATTCAGTGGCACCTTCAGGAACAAAGACCCTGTTCAGCTGAGGGATGACAGCACACTGCTGTCCGGCGGGTCACTGTTAATCACACAAAGGCCTTCTGCCCATGAGACATAAGAAATGTAGGATTTTACAGAACCAACTGGAACAGCCTCATCTTTTAACCCACCAACATACTTTATGCCCATAAATTGAAGTATACACGTAACTGCCCCTCGAGAAAAACCGTTAGTCTATATTCATCTCCATTTATCATAGGAACTGTGCAAGTATTGTAAGCTAATTTGACAGATAAATTCATGTATGCCTGCCATGTGAACAATAAAGGGTTTACAGAAAGGGTTTGACAAGCTGAAGGTTGTTTGGAGAAAACATAACATTTTAAGTAATTTTGAAACTCATTCAAGTGGCAGTTTAGTACTCTCCGCAATGGCTACAGTAATTATTTAATTGGCTGAGGATTGGCCTTTAACCAGTATCCCAGATCAATTACAAAATTATCCTCACTTGCATACAAGTACTCAGTATGCAGTTTCCTATGAGATATTTTTATTGTCTCAGGTGTCAACACACAAAACGATACCTGATATATACTGCCCCCTTGTGGAATAATAAGGGGTGGTCATCTAGCCATTTTCAGCTCATTTAAGACGTAGGTTACATTTTGGTTGTTTGTAGACAACGCATTCAGGAATACAATAGGACGAGCATCCGTCCCCATTTAGGGCATCCATGTGGGACACTACAACAACCTTCCAACAATATACAGGTTAACAGAATCAAACATTTTTCTCCAGGACTCCTAGGGTTTACTCAACAAGTGACGGTATTACTTGAAATGTTTCAAGCTTTTCAAAGTAAAATATATTTCAGAGATGATGTGTTGCATTGGTAGGTAGCAGTATAAATGTATCAACTTTTATATTCTAACATTTCAAGCCTGTGACACATTCAATATTTCAGATTGACAAGGTTGAAAAAGGATAGACATTTAAAAATCACCACCTACAAGGTTTTATTTCAATCATGTGAAAATCTTCAGATTTTCAGATGGGGGAAAAGAAATTAGTCAATGCACTACAAATATTTTATGTTACATAGAAGAGGTTCTTCCTCTGACATTGACCCGGCCCCACCAAACAAACATGACAGAACATCTTGCCATTTCCTTAACACCCAACTCATGAGCACTGACTCAAATCTTCTATCAAAATATGCTTTACACAGAACAGTAAAAGTTGGCAACTAAAGCAAACTAAAAAATAAAAGCAAATAAGGTGTGTATTTTTTTTTTTTTTACAAAAAGGTAAAATGAAAATCATACAAACTGTTTAAATTTACACAATGTATCTGACAAAGACAAGCATATTTTTCACAGCAAACTTGTTTGCCAGACCCGTTCCATTTTACTCCTTCAGAAAAGCAAGTTATCAGAGGGTTAGAGGCGCAGGTTTGCACTTGGGACATTCAGTACTCACAAAGCACTTGAGCTGAGAAGGTCAAAAAGTACCATTCTGGCACACAAGGGTGGAGGTTTGTGGGGTCTAAATAAAGGGCTAAAATGCCCGTCAACAGTTAAATATATATCAATGACGCTTTCTGGAATGTCCAAAAGCTCTGAAAAGTGATGAAACCAGAGTCCATTCAAAAGTAAAAATGACGAAGGATTTAGTCATCAAACTTAATTTTCTTCCCCTGGGGCTTGGCAAATCCACCACCACCTCTTCCACCTAGAAATGAGAAGAAAAATGTGTTTTACTAGCCAGCATCTTTAGCTACAAACAAATCATGGATACTGTGTTTTTACCCCAAGGGCAAAAGTATGAACTCTTCAAGCAAAAAAAGGAAATTGACAAACATACCATATATAGTTAGCCATATTGTCAAGATGAATACAAAACAAAAAGATTGCACTGCATTAGCAGCTGACAAATCAATAGAGTCCACTATTGATTGTCACTTAGTCGTTAAAGGCATGAATGTGACAGCGATTGAGGATAGAACCGGCAGACGATAACACACACCGGCACCGAAGACATAGCACTGCCTTTAGTTTTCCTCCGAACATTTCACACACGAGTACTGAACAACCACATGTGTGCCAAGAAATGGAGGGTGTTTGGCAATTTTCTTAAGTCTAAGGGCAGACATTTTAAAACATTCAAATATAGCACTTTTATTTACCTCCGAAGCTTCCTCGCCCGCGTCCACCGCCACGAGAGTCTCCTCTTCCTCTGCCGCCACGACCACGGCCGCCAAATCCGCCGCCGCCAAAGCCACCACCGCCGCCGCGACCACCGCCAAATCCACCTCTGCCGCCGCGACCGCCAAATCCACCTCCACCTCGACCACCGCGGAAGCCGCCTTCGCCCTTGGGCCTGGCGTAGTCCAGGCTCACCTTGGTGCCATCGATCTCGCCATCATCCATGGCCTCCTTGGCTGCCTTGCAGTCATCCTCATTGTTAAAGTCCACAAAGCCAAAGCTGCAAGGAAAGGCAGAATTTAACATGCAAATCTGTACAGAGTCCCTGCTGGACAGAGTAGTGTTAACGACTGGGAAGCCACGAGGAATTTTAAAACTTACCATTTTGATGCTCCTGTTTCTCTGTCTGTGACTATCCTGGCTGCTGCGGCCCCATCGAACGCATCTCTGAGAGTCTGATCTGTGGTCTCCTCAGAGAGACCCTTGACGAACAGGGTTTTAGTTGGACCTGGTAGCAGAGAGAAGTAGTCATTAAAAAAAAGGGTTTGATTTAATTATCTTCGGGGCTGATACAAATGATTTATCAACCTAAAGCCTCATGGGAGGACCAGTTTAAACTACCAAGTTTCAGAAGGAAAAGTTTTCACATCTGGCCATGCTATCAAATCATTTTATTTCTGCAGAGTCAGTTCTGGATGGTCAAGTTGGTAGACTTACCAGCGTTTCCTCTGGCTCCGTCTCTGCTACTGTTTTGGCTGTACTCCAGGCGGATGGAGCGGCCATCAATATCTGTGTTGTTGAGGTTTTCAAGGGCATCCTTAGCCTCCTCTGTGGTCTCAAATTCTACGAAAGCAAAACTAAGGAAAAAAGAACATTAGGAAAGTGTAAGCTGATAAATTCAGAAAAAGCCACAAATTGATATCAAAATGTTTTACCATTGTTGACTAGTAGAAATGCAAATCATAACCGTTACCGCTCAATATAAACTGTTGCACAACAGACAGACAATCTCCCCAATGCGAGTAGGGCCTGCAGAGCTTGTTCTAACTGTGCATTGACTCTGCTTCTCGTGCGAATCCATTCAGAATCATGAGTAAGACTCAGAGGAGCTCATGAGAAGGTGAACAGTTGAAAGATTTATTTCCAGATAAATTATAACCTATAGAAAGTCATCCTTAAAACCATTAACATAGTATCATTCCAGATTCTTACCCTTTTGGTCTGCCGTCTCTCTGTGGAATCCTAATAGAGACAGCCTTATCAAAAGTGGCTTGAAGTGCCTCTTCTGTGGCGGTGAACGACAGATTATTCACCACCAGTGTTTTACTGGCTGCTCCTGCTGCTGCTACAGAAGAAAAAGAAAACGGGTGAGATTGAGAAGAATTTTCATTAATCTACTGGAAGTACTATGTGCATCAAAACTGTCCAGTTAAAGCAACCTGCCCTTTAAATTGAAATACATAAACATGTACATCATGTCTTAAGAGCTTTATTATACTTCAAATGACAAATCAATAGCCAGAGGCCACTATTGATTGTCGCTTAGTCGTTAAAGTCATGAATGTGACAGCGATTGAGGATAGAACCGGCAGACAATAACACACACCGGCACCGAAGACATAGCACTGCCTTTAGTTTTCCTCCGAACATTTCACACATCAGTACTGAACAACCAAATGTGTGCCAAGAAATGGAGGGTGTTTGGCAATTCCCTTAAGTCAAAGGGCAGCCATTTTAAAACTTCAAAAAAAAAATCTGGGGAATTTACCTCCAGCCATGGAAGCTCCCTTCTGGCTCTTATCTCCAACGTAGTCCACCATGATGGACCTCCCCTGGACATCAGCACCTTGAGCTTCCTCCAACATCTTCTCAGCTTCAGCTTCAGATTTGAACTCAATGTAGGCAATGCTGTCAAAAAGAGAGAAGACATTACTTGTCAAGAAAAGAAAAAAACTAGTACATTACCAACCAAAATACTGGTCAAATGCAAATGAAAGGCAGGTTTGAGTACTAGGAAATAGAAACCTAAAACTTATGAAGCTGCAACAACTAGTTTGACTAATCAGTTCAACTGCAATTTATCAAATGTATTTTTCAGCCTCTCACAATAGGAGATTTCCTAATTATCCATTCTCTATTGATTCCACTTAGTCATTTAGGCATGAATGTGACAGCGATTGAGGATAGAACCGGCAGACGATAACACACACCGGCACCGAAGACATAGCACTGCCTTTAGTTTTCCTCCGAACATTTCACACACGAGTACTGAACAACCACATGTGTGCCAAGAAATGGAGGGTGTAACAATTTTCTTAAAATGTAGAAGGGCAGACATTTTAAAACTTAGTACATTACTAACCAAAATACTGGTCAAATGAAAGGCAGGTTTGAGTACTAGGAAATAAAAACCTACCACTTATAAAGCTGCAATAACTAGTTTGACCAATCAACTGCATTTAAAAAAAAAAAAGATTTATGAAATGTCAGTAATGCATCACAATAGGAGATTTCCTAATTATCCGTTATACAATCTTTGACATAAAAAAACCTTTGACATAAAAAAAGGTGGGATGGCCTTTTTTTTTTTTAAACTGTTAAATGTGTCTACCAAAATAGTAAACCATGAATAAAATATATATTTTTTTTTACTTTCAGTACTATTTCGTACAAAATGGTGGATTGAAAAAAGTACAATTTCCTTACACTACATCAGTTTCCTACACAGTTCTTAGCCAGCTTGTAGGATCTCAGAGTTTGTATTCCCTATGTTTTTACAAAGTGACCTCATCTAGACAAAGGAAATAAACTCAAAATGTCCGCTTGTCCTTACCCCCTGTTTGAACCGTTCTGGCCTGGCGGTAACCTGACATCAACGGCAGCCTCAAAGACTTCCTTAAGGTCTTCAATCGTGGCGGAGAAGGGAAGGTTCTTCACAAACAGTGTCTTTGAATCCCTCTCTGTGGGATAAATAGAATCGTCAGTTTTGGAATAACTTATTTTCCCTATAATGAGAGAAGTTATTTGCTAAAAATCCATTCATTTCAGGAAAAGCCCATGAAATTCGTTTTTAAATAATCTGCATAGGAAAAAGTCATGAATGTGACAGCGATTGAGGATAGAACCGGCAGACGATGACACACACCGGTACCGAAGACATAGCACTGCCTTTAGTTTTCCTCCGAACATTTCACACAGTGGTACTGAACAACCACATGTGTGTCAAGAAATGGAGGGTGTAGCAATGTTCTTAAAATGTAGAAGGGTAGACATTTTAAAACAGCAAAAACATCCATTTTAAAATGTTGGTGTGTTTACCTTTCTTTCCATCCTGTGAGGTCTCCTTGCTTCTGGCTCTGTCCAACTTAAGCTCCTGACCCATGAACTTCTTGCCATTCAGCTCTAGAGCTTTTTGCATGTCCTCCTCCGAGGAAAACTCCACATAACCGAATTTTCTGCAGATGCAAGACATTCAAGGACCATTAGACATACTTTTTTCAAGACTGATATTATATAGATTCATAGCAAACATTCTAAGGTGTAAAACACAACAGTACCACTAGACACCAGTCATGATGTGATAGAACCATTAATGATATGTTACAGATTAACATTATGTATTTTTTTAGTCACTGCCATCCTAAAATTAAGAAAGGTGGATATTTAGGTTTCCAATAACAGGTACTTTTACCTGTAAATAGGTTTGTATTGTTTGTTTTCAAATATTGCTTACTTGGATCCACCTAACCGGACATCAGTGACTTCAAGGTCGTTCTTGGTGAAGAATTTCCTCATGGCATCTTTAATTTCATCAAAGTCCTTGTCGGAGTTCAAGTTCCCAACAAATAGACAGAAACCTGAAAAACGGGGAATGTAAGATCAATGACTTTTGTTTGATTTGTGTGAAACAATTTTTAACTTCAAGTTGATTCAGAAAAATAAGTAAGTGACATCACACATCAGTATTAAGTCCCTTATTGTTCATCATAATAAAATGTTGACATGTGATTGATGGGTCCGTGCATTCTGCTTACCTTCACCATCGGACTTTGCCTTCTTGGCAGCAGGTGCCTCTTTCTTGCTCTCTGCCTTCCTCTTTGCAGGGGTCACTGGGGCTTCTGTAGAGACAAGAGTGTTAAAAAGTGTTCACAGACAGATATCAATTTAGCACAGAGAGAAGAAAGTCTGGAACATCCAGATGGTAGTAACTGCATTACAAATCAAATATGCATGCTACAGTTAACTTTTAATTGTTTTGAGATAATCATCCTTTTTTTTGTATTGCCTACTAACAAGGCAGCACTTCAGTGACGTTTATTTGAAAGATGTTAACATTTTCCATCATAAAACTCACCCTCTTCATCATCATCATCCTCATCATCATCCTCCTCTTCATCATCATCCTCCTCTGACTCTTCCTTGGCTTTCACCATCCCTGCTTTCTTTGCCTTTGCTGGTGCAGGAGCAGTGTCCATCTCTTCTTCAGATTCTGGAAAACCAAAATCATTTTTTTTTAAAAAAACCATTGTGAACAAATTCCAACTATTGACCTGTTTCCTTTAGCCAAATCAGATACATAAAAAGGTGACATCACATAAAATCAGTATTAAGTCCCTTGTTGATCATCATATAAGATCCTATGATGGCAGCTCACAGGTGAGTAACTCAAAATCATCATTAAAAGTAATCCCGGTTGATCTTACCATCTTCATCCTCAGACTCCTCTTTGGCAGCCTTTTTGGCGGCTGGTTTAGCTGCAGCCTTCTTGGAGGGTGGGGCTTCTTCTTCAGATTCTTCATCTTCAGAGGATTCCTTTGCAGGCTTAGCCTTCGCTGCGGGCTTGGCAGCAGGCTTAGCTCCTTTCTTGGGGGGTGGGGCCTCTTCCTCAGACTCATCTGGATATTGGAATTGTACATTTTAGAAATGGGTAAAAACATGAACAAATGTGCAGACAGTTGCATTGAATTCAATAAAAGCCACAAGCCAAAATGTGACAGCGATTGAGGATAGAACCGGCAGACGATAACACACACCGGTACCGAAGACATAGCACTGCCTTTAGTTTTCCTCCGAACATTTCACACAGTGGTACTGAACAACCACATGTGTGTCAAGAAATGGAGGGTATATGGCAATCTTCTTAAACAAGTAGCTTGTGAATAGACTGGTTTAACAAAGACCAAATGGAAAATGTTCCTGAAGCGACTAATGTAATGTATGTCATACCATCGTCCTCGTCATCATCTTCATCTGACTCCTCAGCCTTTACAGGTGTTGCCTTGGCGGGGGCTGGTTTGGCCTTTGCAGGAGTCTTTTTGGGTGCTGGGGCCTCTTCTTCAGATTCCTCCTCTGTAGGTTATGGACACAGCACAACAATGTCAGCATGTGCTCAATCCCTAGTATTCATTTTGAGTGTGGGTCTTAGTCTGCTCAGCTTAAATGTAAAAAGGGGGGACTAGATGTTTGGTGTAGCAGATATTACTATTTCCCGTTAAAACCATTCACGTGTAACATTAGTCTTTTAACAACTGACAATTTATTTTTAGAATAATCAATTCACTTGCATTACAATTTTAACATGCCAGAGAAATGTCTCTTATGATTCCATCATGCTTGACTAATGACCAATCAAGGGAAAGTAAATGATAAAATAAACAAATAAAAGTTTATTTTCAGGACTTTTTGTTGGTGTCTATAGACTGGGAGAAAACATTTGCTTACCTGAATCCTCCTCACTTTCTGCTTTTTTAGCAGCAGCTCCATTCTTAACTGCTTTTGCTGGTGTGGCTTTTTTCACCACTTTGGGAGCCTGAATCAAAATAAAGAAAAAGAGAACATTAATACCTTTAAAAATCCAGAACAAATATTTTAATTTAAGAACCGAGAATCTTAAATAGTCTGTACCTCTTCCTCCTCACTGCTTTCCTCTTCACTAGATTCCTCCTCTACCTCCTTTGGTGGAGGGGCTTTTTTCTTCTGAATTGCCTGCTTGGTCGCTGCCTGCAAGATAAATGGAAAATAGGAAATGTTAGAACACAGGTTTAGATTAACATGACTCGTGTTCAGTAATAGCCGGCTCTATGGGCGGTAATCTGGTTCCTCGGTTTTCACCTCGTGTCAATCCGAGCAGGCGCACAACCCACGTGGAGCTCAGGAGGTCGGGTAGTTAGCATGCTGGCTAATGTAGCCGTTTGCCGACATGCATAGAACGCATGGTGAGCAAAGGAGGGAATTGCAGGCAGACGAGCAATATACAAAATCTAACATCTAACACCGGTTCAAGAACGATCGGTTTACCGTAACGTTACAAATGGATAATAACGTACTGCTCTGCATGTGGCCTGTTAACAACCACGCTTACGCGAACAACCATGTACCGCCATCCAGCATAGTACGTACATTAAAAGGCATTCCAATAAATCGTTTGAATATCTCAATTATGGTAAAAATTGACAATCGTGTGTGGCCTAGTTTAATCTGTATTAAATGCATCTCTTAATCCCATGCTTTAAAATCGAGAAGGCGCTTGAAAGCCATCTTGAGTTTTTCGCTAACCATTAGCAGGCCAGGAAAAACCAGCAATGTACCAACATGGCCGATTTGGAACAAACGTTTTAATAACGTGGTTTTTCAATTTCACCTTTAATTTCCACCAAACACACACGTTATGAAACGTACGTAATTATTGAAGAGAACCAATAAGCAGCAGAATACCCGTATTCATTTGTAAGCGGAGTTAATTCCGTTTTTCACACAAACGCAGCAACTTCTCCATTAAGGCCTCATGCCTAACAACAAAGCTTATTTTAATCACAAACGCAAACACTTAAATAGGAAATTGCAATCAAGTTGGTCTTACCTTTGCTAGTTTCACCATGGTGATGTTGTGTGTTTCAGCGAAACACAAGGAACTGGACGTATGGAAACAAGAAACGAAATATTTAACGGACACACGTGGTGGTTCAGCCTACTCGATGGGACATAGGGCAGGAAAGACAGAGTCTTCGAAGCCGCGCTCGATGCTCTCTTGTTCTGCGCGTTCACGTCGACCCGCCCACATTGCTATGTCAACCAATCACAAGAGCAGCGTGCTTGCGCCTCGCCTACATACACATTTGCATGTATTTCTCCACACAGGAAATGATTTTTAAGTTGACGGCAAGTAAACATTATTAAATCGATGCCATGTTAGATACGATTTTGTTTCAGAGGATAGTGCAATGACATGCTGAATTCAACCGCAGACAGATAGTCGATACTTTCAAATTGACTCTTACATTTAGTATTTGGCTACAGTCAGTAGGCTACAGAGCGCCTTTATGCTCCATGCAGCTGTTTTCATTAACCACGTGGCTGGGGGGCAGTTGCCATCAATGAACTACCACGGTCCACGTGTGGCCTACCATGCATAGTACTGGCTTCGATTTGCAAAGAGCAGTGCAACTTCTTTAATCTTATTAATTAGCCCACACATTTTAGTTAGTCTTCCCCACTTTATTTACAACAACAATCCACATTTACATAATCTGAACTGTAGATTAATTATGTTTGTATGGAGTAGTCTATGCTAGGCTTTATTCAAGTGAGTTCAATTTAATTGGGAGTATGAGAACTTTCACTTCATTCAGAATGTTATTTTCATTGATTTAAAAAAAGTCATTGATAAAAACAACAACCTAGATAGCACATTAGGATGACAGAGTGGATTGCCAGAAAGGCAGTCAAACATTGAAGTGGTACTCTTCATTTAGTTGAAGTTGTGGAGCTTTTGAGTGATTCTTGTTCAGCCAATGAAGTTTCCACAACTTGTCATGGAATTGAACACTTTTTTAACAACCCTAACTGATGGTGAGATGAAACCTTATGAAGGTTTGAAGCTTTCCAGCCAATTGGTTCTCAAAGGGATTCATCTCATGAGGCTTCATCTGAACCCCTGTTGGTCAAAGTGTGGTGTTACACAGGCATACATCTCAACAGTGGGATCTTTCTGAGTTCCCAGAATAACTCTAAAAAATGGATATGAATATTATATACTCTTACAACGAATTACTATTTGCAGTAATAAAACTATAGGCTAGTAATCTAAGATACTCACAAAAGCACTTGAAGTATGAAGTGACCGCAGCACTGTTGTGACAGGATTTTTGCATGTAACTTTTGAGCAAAGCATTAAATCCTCATCTTTAATCAGTCGATGCTTTCTACAGATCTGTGAAGGTTTTAATTGTCATTACCAAGGGCATCACTAAAAACTGGTGGGGACAATTTCTCCATATTTAACATCAGCGTAGCAGAAGACAAAAGTTGCCCACCACCCCTGGGTGTTGAACCTCGAGCACCTGCATGAAGAACCAATGACTAGACCTCTGGACCACCAGGGTATTTTGAAAACTATGAACGCACAACTATACGTATTGCTGTGATTGTGAGTGATTTGAACCTCTATGCAGTATGCACACCAAGAAATGGCATAGCCCCACCATGAAAAATGATGTTAAAGTAAGCAAATAAAGTAATATCGTCTCGTAAATTAAATAATAAGCAAAACGCTAAATGTTGAGAACACGGCTTGCGAAAATATACCGATCGTGTCCACAACACATAAACTGATCCTGCTGTAACAACAAGTGCACGTTACTGATGCAATATGGTTGAGAACATTCAGGGTTATGCTAAAGAGGCGTTTCACTGTCAAGGGGGGCCGGTTTCTCAAACTTACCTACCCCACCTTTAAGTAAATGTACTTTGTTACTGTCTACCGCTGTTCATTGTTCAAGATTGAAATGTAAATTTGCCTGACAGTTTCTGCCCCTCTATTCACATGTAGCCTTTCATATGTGATGGTTTCTTGATTCTCGAACTGTTGTGGAGCAGAAGTATAAAGTTGCGGGATTTGTCTCAAGTACCTCAAGATTGTACTTAAGTACAGTGCTTAAGTAAATGAGCTACAGTCTACCGCTGTTCATTGTTCATTTACCTATTGTGAGTCGCCTCGGATAAAAGCATCAGATGGAAATGTAATGTTTGCAAGAAGTAGCCATTATTCAGATAGGTGTTTCTGCCCCTCTATTCACATGTAACCTTCCATACGTGAGGTTGGCTTCATTCTCCCAATATCCTCCTAATCTGCCTAGAACTATTTTAATGTTGTAGCTGTTCAAGGTGGTCATTTTAAAAATGTTTTTAAAATATACTGTTAGTTAAACCAACAATAATGCTCGGGCTGCAACTGACAGTTATTTCGGCACATGTTTCTTTTTTCTTAACGCTGTGTGATGAAAAGGATAAACACAAATACAGTGGCGTAACAAGGTTGTGATTGGCCCCGGTGCAAATATTATTTGGGGCCCCCCCCCCCGATCGCCCCAAACATAAGCGCATGCTGATGCACTCACACACGCACGGACATACACAACCACTGCTATAATATAGCTTTTGATCTTGGCGTCGGGGGTCTCAATAGCGCCATAGTGTCCCCTGTCGGTTGGGGCCCTTTGGGGAACTGTTGGACCACCGGCGCTATTGAGACCCCCGACGCCAAGATCAAAAGCTATATTATAGCAGTGNATATCTCGCCCCTGTCAATAAGCCTCACCTTCATGGCAAAAAACGGTTATGGGTTTTTGAAGTGGTGGAGAGACAATGCACAGTTTTACCCACTGCTGTCACCCATGGCCAAAGCATATCTCTCTGTCCCAGCAACATCAGTACCAATAAACTAATAAACTCATAAGCAAGAGTTTTTTCCACAGCAGGGGATATTGTAAATGCCCAAACATCCCAGCTTCTACCTGGAAATGTGGACATGCTCATATTCCTAAAAGATAACCTTGATGATGCTGAGTGAGTGAGTTAGTGAGTTAAGATTTGAGTTACTTGAAAAACTAAAGTGAAACTTGATTTATTCTATTGCAGGGTCTGATTATTATATTCTTGACCCTTTAAAATATTACTATCCTACTAAAATGCTGTACAAATCAGATTTATTATTTAATAAAGAAAAACAAATTCAAGTAAAAAAAATAAAAAAAATTCATTTTTCAATATCGCGATAAATATCGTTCCGTGGATTTTGTATCGCGATATTATCGTACCGTGAGTCTTTGGTATCGTTAGATCCCTAGTGGAGAGCTAAATATTTGTTCACCGAACTGCTACTGGCCCGGCCCGTCTGTCAACATTTTAAAACTGGTTTAACTATAGTTAAACCAATTAGTTAAAAATGTTTTTAAAATATACTGTTAGTATACTAACAGTATATTTTAAAAACATTTTTAAATGACCATCTTGAACAGCTACAACATTAAAATACTTCTAGGCAGATGGAGGATATTGGGAGAATGAAGCCAACCTCACGTATGGAAGGTTACGAATAGAGGGGCAGAAACACCCATCTGAATAATGGTCACTTCTTGCAAATGTACATTTCCATCTGATGCTTTTATCCGAGGCGACTCACAATAAATGAACAATGAACAGTGGTAGACAGTAGCTCATTTACTTAAGCACTGTACTTAAGTACAATCTTGAGGTACTTGAGACAAATCCCGCAACTTTATACTTCTGCTCCACAACAGTTCGAGAATCAAGNACTACGACTCTCCCTTGGTGACTCGGACTTGGACTCGAAGAGTGGTGACTTGAGAGTGGTGACTCGAGAGTGACTTGGACTCGTGAATTGGTGACTTGACTACAACACTGCTGTGCATTATAAATGCAAGCTATTACATTTTTTACAATGCTGCCGAACTTGCTGCTGCTAGCTACGGTACAGTACAGGCTGATTAAACTGTTCGCTCGTCACGCAAGGTATCACATGACATGAAAGGGAGCAAGGTCATTGGACAGACAAATTACAAATTACTTCAGGTTACTTGGTTACTTTGAAGACTGCGTGAACCAGTCAATACCATTGTGGCCCCAATAAATATATATTTAAAAAATATATATAATTTTTTTAAAACATTTTTTTTTGCATGGGCCCCTAGTCGGCTCTGGGCTCCGGTGCGTCCCATGTACCTCCATGGGACCTTATTTCGAAAAAATTATGTATTGAAGTCAATGGAGAGAGAAAGATTATCTTTCGATCCCGTTTGAATTGTGCCACGAATTACACATATGATGTTTGTCAATTTAAAAGATAATTTTGCAAGTAAAAAAAAAAAGAATGTGTCGTAAAACTGTGAAGTAACACATTTGTTTGTGTGAAACGCTCAATGAACTACATCTCTGGTCTCGCAAAACAACACACGTCACCAAGATGGCCGTCACTACTGTCTTGTCAACAAAACGATTATACCCTCACTATCACCACAATGAAACACGTCCAGAAGAATGTCATGCAAAGTCGATTTTTGGATCTTCAAAGAGCCATATCGAGCGCGATCTTCAATTTCCAATGATTTAATGTCATTGTTTACGTGTCTGGCAATTGTAATCGGGCTCTTTGAATATCCAAAAATCCACGGTTTTCTTAAATTTCTGATCGGATTGGGCAAAAACTTCAGAATTTGTATTGACCGCCATTCAAATTACAGCTTTTTTTTCCCCAAAAGTGGGCGGAGCCGTACTTTTTGCCCAGAAGTGGAGAGTAATGTGTTACTCTCATGTATACAATTAAAATTAAAACAATAAACAAATATAAAAGTTATAATAAAATACAATTACAATTAGAACAACAATTAATAATACATTAAATAATTATAATAAAAAAAGTGATCTAAATTCATTGAAAATTATAATGACAATAAAGAAATGACAAGTAAAAATGCAATGAATAAATAAATGAAATTAAAAAATGATATCAACACATAAACAATGAATCATTAAATAATAATGAATATTGATAACATATTAATCATATTTAAATAAATAATATTAAAAATAATAATTATAAAACAATACTAACAATTATAATAAAAAAAGAAAGAAAAAATCGTACCACCAGGGGAGTGTTATGAGATGTGTGAAGTGTTTTTTTTCTTTGAACATGCTTCAGACTGAGGT